TTTTTTATCCACAACTTGAATCCCTCCACAACCTCATAGAGCATCTAGATACATTTTCTAACCGCTCTGGATTACAACCAAATTATGGTACAGTGGGGAAATAAAGTATTTAGTCAGCCACCAATTGTGCAAGTTCTCCCACTTAAAAAGATGAGAGAGGCCTGTAATTTTCATCACAGGTACACGTCAACTATGACAGACAAATTGAGAAAAAAAAAAATATTTGGTCACCTACAAACAAGCAAGATTTCTGGCTCTCACAGACCTGTAACTTCTTATTTAAGAGGCTCCTCTGTCCTCCACTCGTTACCTGTATTAATGGCACCTGTTTGAACTTGTTATCAGTATAAAATACATCTGTCCACAACCTCAAACAGTCACACTCCAAACTCCACTATGGCCAAGACCAAAGAGCTGTCAAAGGACACCAGAAACAAAATTGTAGACCTACACCAGGCTGGGAAGACTGAATTTGCAATAGGTAAGCAGCTTGGTTTGAAGAAATCAACTGTGGGAGCAATTATTAGGAAATGGAAGACATACAAGACCACTGATAATCTCCCTCGATCTGGGGCTCCACGCAAGATCTCACCCCGTGGGGTCAAAATGATCACAAGAACGGTGAGCAAAAATCCCAGAACCACACGGGGGGACCTAGTGAATGACCTGCAGAGAGCTGGGACCAAAGTAACAAAGCCTACCATCAGTAACACACTACGCCGCCAGGGACTCAAATCCTGCAGTGAAGACGTGCCCCCCTGCTTAAGCCAGTACATGTCCAGGCCCGTCTGAAGTTTGCTAGAGTGCATTTGGATGATCCAGAAGAGGATTGGGAGAATGTCATATGGTCAGATGAAACCAAACTATAACTTTTTGGTAAAAACTCAACTCGTCGTGTTTGGAGGACAAAGAATGCTGATTGAGAAACTTTAGTTATTGACCAAATACTTATTTTTCACTGTAATTAGCAAATAAATTCATTAAAAATCCTACAATGTGATTTTCTGGAATTTTTTTCCTCATTTTGTCTGTCATAGTTGACGTGTACCTATGATGAAAATTACAGGCCTCTCTCATCTTTTTAAGTGGGAGAACTTGCACAATTGGTGGCTGACTAAATACTTTTTTTCCCCACTGTACATTTTCTATAGGATTGAGGTCAGGACTTTGTTGTCCTTAAGCCATTTTGCCACAACTTTGGAAGTATGCTTGGGGTCATTGTCCATTTGGAAGACCCATTTGCGACCAAGCTTTAACTTCCTGACTGATGTCTTGAGATGTTGCTTCAATATATCCACATAATTTTCCTTCCTCATGATGCCATCTATTTTGTGAAGTGCACCAGTCCCTCCTGCAGCAAAGCACCCCCACAGCATGATGCTGCCACCCCCGTGCCTCACGGTTGGGATGGTGTTTTTCGGCTTGCAAGCTACCCCCCTTTTTCCTCCAAACATAATGATGGTCATTATGGCCAAACAGTTCTATTTTTGTTTCATCGAACCAGAGGACATTTCTCCAAAAAGTACAATCTTTGTCCCCATGTGCAGTTGCACACCGTAGTCTGGCTTTTTTATGGCAGTTTAGGAGCAGTGGCTTCTTACTTGCTGAGCGGCCTTTCAGGTTATGTCGATATAGGACTTGTTTTACTGTGGATATAGATACTTTTGTACCTGTTTCCTACAGCATCTTCACAAGGTCCTTTGCTGTTGTTCTGCGATTGATTTGCACTTTTCGCACCAAAGTATGTTAATCTCTAGGAGACAGAACGCGTCTCCTTCCTGAGAGGTATGACGGCTGCGTGGTCCCATGGTGTTTATACTTGCATACTATTGTTTGTACAGATGAACATAGTACCTTCAGGCGTTTGGAAATTGCTCCCAAGGATGAACCTTGACTTGTGGAGGTCTACAATTAGGAGGTCTTGGCTGGTTTCTTTAGATTTTCCCATGATGTCAAGCAAAGAGGCACTGAGTTTGAAGGTAGGCCTTGAAATACATCCACAGGTACACCTCCAATTGACTCAAATGATGTCAATTAGCCTATCAGATGCTACTAAAGCCATGACATCATTTTCTGGAATTTTCCAAGCTGTTTAAAGGCACAGTCAACTTAGTGTATGTAAACTTCTGACCCACTGGAATTGTGATACAGTGAATTATAAGTGAAATAATCTGTCTGTAAACAATTGTTGGAAAAATTACTTGTGTCATGCACAAAGTACAGGTCCTAACCGACTTGCCAAAACTATAGTTTGTTAACAAGACATTTCTGGAGTGGTTGAAAAACGAGTTATAATGACTCCAACCTAAGTGTATGTAAACTTCCGACTTCAACTGTATGTATATATATGTATATACAGTGGGGAGAACAAGTATTTGATACACTGCTGATTTTGCAGGTTTTCCTACTTACAAAGCATGTAGAGGTCTGTAATTGTTATCATAGGTACACTTCAACTGTGAGAGACGGAATCTAAAACAAAAATCCAGAAAATCACATTGTATGATTTTTAAGTAATTAATTTGCATTTTATTGCATGACATAAGTATTTGATACATCAGAAAAGCAGAACTTAATATTTGGTACAGAAACCTTTGTTTGCAATTACAGAGATCATACGTTTCCTGTAGGTCTTAACCAGGTTTGCACACACTGCAGCAGGGATTTTGGCCCACTCCTCCATACAGACCTTCTCCTGATCCAGGTTTCGGGGCTGTCGCTGGGCAATACGGACTTTCAGCTCCCTCCAAAGATTTTCTATTGGGTTCAGGTCTGGAGACTGGCTAGGCCACTCCAGGACCTTGAGATGCTTCTTACGGAGCCAATCCTTAATTGCCCTGGCTGTGTGTTTCGAGTCGTTGTCATGCTGGAAGACCCAGCCACGACCCATCTTCAATGCTCTTACTGAGGGAAGGAGGTTGTTGGCCAAGATCTCGCGATACATGGCCCCATCCATCCTCCCCTCACAACGGTGCAGTCGTCCTGTCCCCTTTGCAGAAAAGCATCCCCAAAGAATGATGTTTCCACCTCCATGCTTCACGGTTGGGATGGTGTTCTTGGGGTTGTACTCATCCTTCTTCTTCCTCCAAACACGGCGAGTGGAGTTTAGACCAAAAAGCTCTATTTTTGTCTCATCAGACCACATGACCTTCTCCCATTCCTCCTCTGGATCATCCAGATGGTCATTGGCAAACTTCAGACGGGCCTGGACATGCGCTGGCTTGAGCAGGGGGACCTTGCGTGCGCTGCAGGATTTTAATCCATGACGGCGTAGTGTGTTACTAATGGTTTTCTTTGAGACTGTGGTCCCAGCTCTCTTCAGGTCATTGACCAGGTCCTGCCGTGTAGTTCTGGGCTGATCCCTCACCTTCCTCATGATCATTGATGCCCCACGAGGTGAGATCTTGCATGGAGCCCCAGACCGAGGGTGATTGACCGTCATCTTGAACTTCTTCCACTTTCTAATAATTGCACCAACAGTTGTTGCCTTCTCACCAAGCTGTTTGCCTATTGTCCTGTAGCCCATCCCAGCCTTGTGCAGGTCTACAATTTTATCCCTGATGTCCTTACACAGCTCTCTGGTCCTGGCCATTGTGGAGAGGTTGGAGTCTGTTTGATTGAGTGTGTGGACAGGTGTCTTTTATACAGGTAACGAGTTCAAACAGGTGTAGTTAATACAGGTAATGAGTGGAGAACAGGAGGGCTTCTTAAAGAAAAACTAACAGGTCGGTGAGAGCCGGAATTCATACTGGTTGGTAGGTGATCAAATACTTATGTCATGCAATAAAATGCAAATTAATTACTTAAAAATCATACAATGTGATTTTCTGGATTTTTGTTTTAGATTCCGTCTCTCACAGTTGAAGTGTACCTATGATAAAAATTACAGACCTCTACATCCTTTGTAAGTAGGAAAACCTGCAAAATCGGCAGTGTATCGAATACTTGTTCTCCCCACTGTATGTATGTGTATGTATGTATGTATGTATGTATGTATGTATGTATGTATGTATGTATGTATGTATGTATGTATGTGTGTATATATATATATATATATATATATATATATATATATATATATATATTTGCGAGAAGTAAAAAAACATATGGAGGATTGGAAGTGATGGAGACAATTACATTGATGGAAGGTACAATCTATCTGCAATATTAAAGATGATCTACCCCCCCCCCCCCCCCCCACACAAAAAAAAGGGTCTGAAATACTCATGTAAATGTGATATTTCAAATTTTTTTTTTTTTTTTAAATTTGCTATATAAAAAAATAAAAAAGTTGTTGTTTTGTCATTATAGGGTATTGTGTGTAGATTGATGAGGGGAAAAAAACAATGTAATACATTTTAGAGTATGGCTGTAACGTAACAAAAATTTTAAAAAGTAAGGGGGTCTGAATACTTTCTGAAGGCACTGTATATGTAATTCAAATCTGGACCAGTCTGTAATCTGAACACGGTTTTATTTACCCAAATACCAGGTTGGCAAAACCATTTCTTCTTTCTGTTTAACATTTTTACTGGAAAAGACAGCATCACCAACACACTTGACACATAGACGACCCTGAGATTCCCTTTTCACTTTTGTCTCTTGATATACAATATAATATTTTGGTCATCAAAGATGGAATGGCTTTGAGAGGAACAGTATGGTACCTATCTGAATGTGTGTGTGCGCGCTTGTGCTGGTGCGTCTACATGTGTGTACCTGTTTATGTCCAGATTCTGTCTCAGTCCAGCAGCTCTTTTGAATATCAGTGTTCGCTGAAGCGAAAGGTGCAACATTCCTCCCAGTTGTTATTCTGACCACATAATGCTGTGATGGGATCAAAACAAACCATGAATACATCTTCCCCATGTGGACTTGGAAGAAAATGTGTTCGGGATAATCCCTGGTGTACTAGTTCTGGTGAAAAGTGTCACCCTCCCTCCTTCTAAATGTGTTTTGCATTAGGATGATAATACCGTTGTTGGATATCATGACCTGAAATGTTTTCTCATCAGCAGTTACCTGAGCCGCTGAAAAAGCCCAGTCAGTTAAGTGCGTGACATTGAAGAACTGCTTGGCTCTGTCATGTTACAATGCAAAAGTGCTAAATTGACGGACATATTTGTGTGTCATTGCTCTCTCTGTGTGATTGTGCTGTATGTACCATACTGGGTGGGGGTGTGTATGTGTCTGTGTGTGTTTGCATGTGTGTGTTTTTGTGTGTGCTGCTTGCATCCATGTGTGTTGTCCAATTTTCATCATTTTTCTAACGTGTCTCCCCTCGCTCCAGTCGGACTCAACAGTGACCATCACCTGTGCAGATGGAAAGTGGAATAAGCAGGTGTCGTGTGAGCCAGTAGACTGTGGCCTACCAGACAAGTACCACGTCCACCCAGCCCACTTTAACTTCCCTGAGGGAACTACTTATGGCAAGAGGAGTACCTTCCAATGCAGGGAGCCTGCCCTGCTCCTAGGTGAGATACACTGACTCACACAAACACACTGTCTCAACACACACACACTATCTCAACACACACACTGTCTCAACACACACACTGTCTCAACACACACACTGTTTCAACACACACACACTGTCTCAACACACACACTGTCTCAACACACACACTGTCTCAACACACACACACTGTCTCAACACACACACATTGTCTCAACACACACAGTCTGTCTCAACACACAAACACTGTCTCAACACACACACACACACTGTCTCAACACACACACACACTGTCTCAACACACACACTGTCTCAACACACACACTGTCTCTCACACACACACACACTGTCTCTCACACACACACACTTTCTCACACACACGCTGTCTCAAAACACAGACTGTCTTAACACACACACACTGTCTCAACACACACACTGTCTCACACACACACACTGTCTCACACACACACTGTCTCAACACATACACACTGTTTCACACACACACACACACACACACTGTCTCAACACACACACTGTCTCAACACACACACTGTCTCAACACACACACTGTGTCAACACACACACACTGTCTCAATACACACACACTTTCTCAACACACACACACTGTCTCAACACACACACTGTCTCAACACACACACTGTCTCACACACGCACACTGTCTCAACACACACACTGTCTCAACACACACACACTCTCTCAACACACACAAACTGTCTCAACACACACAAACTGTCTCAACACACACACACTGTCTCAACACACACACTGTCTCAACACACACACGCTGTCTCGACACACACAAACTGTCTCAACGCACACATGCTGTCTCAACACACACACACAGTCTCAATACACACACTGTCTCAACACACACAATGTCTCAACACACACACAATTTCTCAAAACACACACTGTCTCAACACACACACTGTCTCACACACACACTGTCTCACACACACACTGTCTCACACACACACTGTCTCAACACACACACACACTGTCTCGCACACACACACTGTCTCAAGACACACACTGTCTCAACACACACACTGTCTCAACACACACACTGTCTCACAAACACACACACTGTCTCACACACACACTGTCTCAACACATACACACTGTTTCACCACATACACACTGTTTCAAACACACACACACACTGTCTCACACACACACTGTTTCAACACACACACTGTCTCAACACATACTGTCTCAACACACACACACTGTCTCAACACACACATTGTCTCACACACACACTGTCTCAACACATACACACTGTTTCACACACACACACACACACACACACTGTCTCAACACACACACTGTCTCAACACACACACTGTCTCAACACACACACTGTGTCAACACACACACACTGTCTCAATACACACACACTTTCTCAACACACACACACTGTCTCAACACACACACTGTCTCAACACACACACTGTCTCACACACGCACACTGTCTCAACACACACACTGTCTCAACACACACACACTCTCTCAACACACACTGTCTCAACACACACAAACTGTCTCAACACACACACACTGTCTCAACACACACACTGTCTCAACACACACACGCTGTCTCGACACACACAAACTGTCTCAACGCACACATGCTGTCTCAACACACACACACAGTCTCAATACACACACTGTCTCAACACACACAATGTCTCAACACACACACAATTTCTCAAAACACACACTGTCTCAACACACACACTGTCTCACACACACACTGTCTCACACACACACTGTCTCACACACACACTGTCTCAACACACACACACACTGTCTCGCACACACACACTGTCTCAAGACACACACTGTCTCAACACACACACTGTCTCAACACACACACTGTCTCACAAACACACACACTGTCTCACACACACACTGTCTCAACACATACACACTGTTTCACCACATACACACTGTTTCAAACACACACACACACTGTCTCACACACACACTGTTTCAACACACACACTGTCTCAACACATACTGTCTCAACACACACACACTGTCTCAACACACACATTGTCTCAACACATACACACTGTCTCACACACACATTGTCTCAACACACACACACTGTCTCAACACACACACACACTGTCTCAACACACACACACACTGTCTCAGCACAAACACACTGTCTCAACACACACACACTGTCTCAGCACAACACACTGTCTCAACACACACACACTGTCTCAACACACACACACTGTCTCAACACACACACACACACACACACACTGTCTCAACACACACACACTGTCTCAACACACACACACAATCTCAACACACACACACTGTCTCAACACACACACACTTTCTCAAAACACACACTGTCTCAACACACACACTGTCTCACACACACACTGTCTCCAACCACTGTTCACACACACTTCTCACACACACACTGTCTCGCACACACACACTGTCTAAACACACACACTGTCTCAACACACACACCCTGTCTCACACACACTACTGTCTCAACACACACACTGTCTCAACACACACACACTGTCTCAACACACACTCACCACACACTGTCTCACACCACACACACCACTGTCTCAACACACACACTGTGTCACACACACACACTGTCTCAACACACACACACTGTCTCAACACACACACACTGTTCACACACACACACTGTCTCACACACACCTGTTCAACACACACACACTGTCTCACACACACACACTGTCTCAACACACACACTGTCTCAAACACACACACACGGTCTCTCACACACACTGTCTCAACACACACAACTGTCTCACACACACCACACTGTCTCAACACCACACACTGTCTCAACACCACAAAACTGTCTCAACGCACACACACGTCTCAACACACACTGTCTCAAACACACAATGTCTCAACACACACACAATTTCTCAAACACACACACTGTCTCAAAACACACACACTGTCTCAACCCCACACACTGTCTCACAACTGTCTCAACACACTGTCTCAACACACACACACTGTCTCGCACACATACACTGTCTCAAGACACCACACTGTCTCAACACACACACTGTCTCAACACACACACTGTCTCAACACACACACGTTCTCACACCTGTCTCAACACACACCACAATCGTCTCAACACACACACATTCTCAACACACACTGTCTCAACACACACACACTGTCTCAACACACACACTGTCTCGCACACACACTTCTCAACACACACTGTCTCAACACACACACACTGTCTCGCACACACACACTGTCTCAAGACACACACACTGTCTCAACACACACACACTGTCTCAACACACATACTATCTCTCACACACACACTGTCTTAACGCACATACACTGTCTTAACACACACACACTGTCTCACCACACACACACTGTCTCACCACACACACACTGTCTCAACACACACACTGTCTCAACACACACACTCTCTCAACACACACACACTGTCTCAACACACACACACTGTCTCAACACACACACACTGTCTCAACACACACACTGACCGTATCTTTTTTATATCGCTTATACTGTATATTTTTCTCTCTCTTTGTTCAACTATTTGTCATCCCCCCCCCCCCCCCTATTTGTCATCCCCCCCAGGTTCTAACAACACTCTGACGTGTCTGGAGGATGGTTTATGGTCCTTCCCCGAGGCGCTGTGTGAGCTGCGCTGTCCGGCCTCGCCCCACGTGCCCAACGCCATGCTGCAGACCAAGCGCTGCAATGAAACGGGCCTCAAAGTGGGATCCCTCTGCAAGTACAAGTGCAAGCCGGGCTACCACGTCACCAACAAGCCCAAAAGGTAATCGACCACCCACATGGCTTACATTTGGGGTAAATTCAATTTAAGTTCAGTTCAATTGAATGGGTTTGAAATGGAATTGATCCAATTGATCCTGTCCAACTCTTGATCTTCACCTTTCCCACCCTTTCGACATAGAGCATGTCTCTAGTCTTTGTCCTCTCAATTCAGTTCCACTCAACTCAACCCAACATGTTTTGTTTTGCGTTCGTCAGGCGAGCATTTAAGCGTCAGTGCACGGAGGACGGCAGCTGGCTGGAGGGGGCGTGTGAACCGGTGACCTGTGACTCTCCGCCCGCCATCTTCCACGGCATGTACCAGTGCACGGACGGCTTCCACTTTGACAGCACCTGCTGGATCAACTGCCCCGGAGCCAACCACACGGTGAGACCGCTGCACACCGCTCCATGCAAGCAGGTCTGTCTCTCTCTACTCCTCCACTCAACTGTCTGTCTGTGTCCGCTGGGCTTTCTGTCTATGGGGCTGGCTGTTTGTCTGTCCGTCCGTCCATCTGTCTATCTATCTGTCTGTCGGTGTGTTTGGCTTTCTGTCTATTGGGCTGACTGTCTGGCTGTCTAGCTGTCTGGCTATGGGTCTTTCTGTCTGTCTGTGGGGCTGTGTATGTCTGCGGCACAGTCTATCTGTGGGTGTGTTTATGTGTGTCTGTCTGTGTGTCTCTGTCTGTCTGTCTATCAATCTGTTATTTAGTTGGCTGGCTAGCTTGCTGTCTGTCAGTCTGTCTGTCTGTCCATTTGTCTGTCTGTCTGTCAGCTTTGCCTAGTCTTTTGGTGTCTTCTTATAACGTTGTACTGGCCCCAGTGTCTGTGCTATAGCTGTTTGTCTATATCTGTTGTCTTTGTGAAGTGTGAAAGAATAATGTGTTAGGCAACGGGAGATGTAATGATCAAGATAATGCTCAAGATAATGCTCAAGATAATGCTCAAGATAATGATCAAGATAATGATCAAGATAATGATCAAGATAATGCACAAATGTGGAAGCAGGTAAATACGTACGCATGACGCACATTTTTACACATGTACTTTCTCCCAACCTCTGTCGCATACATGCTTCATATTCATAGCTACACAAGTGTACATGACACTTCACATAACACATAGACTTCTTTGCATTGCATTGCCCTTGACCTGAGGATCTCTCTGTGTGATAGCCTTTGATGCAGTGATGTGTGTGTGTGTAGATTAGTTTGTGGCTGTATTATAATGAGAGGATCAGAGGGTGTTAGGGTCTCCAGTGTTAGCATGTACAGTATGATTCATAGACAGAGGAGATTATCCCTCTCTCACATTATCTTTCTCTCAGCCCCCTTTCCCCTCTCTCTCTCTCTCTCTCTCTCTCTCTCTCTCTCTCTCCTCTTCCCTCTCTCATCTCTCGCCTCTCTCACCTCTCTCTCTCTCCTCATCTCCTTCTTCTCTCTCTCTTCCTGCTTCGTCTCTCTCTCCCTCTCTCTCTCTCTTCGTCATCCTCTCTGCTCTCCTCTCTCCCTCTCTCTCTCTCCTCTCTCTCTCTCTCTCCTTTTCTTCATGTGCTTTTCTCTCTCTCTTTCTCTCTCTCTTTCTCCCTCCATCAATCCCACTGAAGTAGCACAGACAGTTATTAGATTGACATTGATTGTCAAAATAGTTGTGCCACAGACAGATAGAGCAATGTTATAGGCCCTCTAATCCTCTTTGACTACAGACTCCAATTATTATCATGTTTCATGGTGATATGGAAGGTGGTTCTCAATGTCCTCGGTGTGTGTGCGTGTGCGTGTGCGTGTGTGTGTGTGTGTGTGTGTGTGTGTGTGTGTGTGTGTGTGTGTGTGTGTGTGTGTGTGTGTGTGTGCGTGCATGCATGTTTGTGCGTGTGTGTGTGTGTGTGTGTGAAGCAGGGGCCCAGCACCAATGTGATCCGTTGTAGGAAGGACGGCAACTGGACTGGTTCCTTCAAGCTCTGTCCTCAGAGCAAGGGACAGTGCTCTCTACCTCAAAACCTTAACCCCAGCATACGAGTCAGCTGCAAGAAGGGACATGGAATAGGTCTGTATATGCACTATGTGTGTGACATAGTAGAAACCATATTATACACTATGTTTGTCAGAATATAGAGCATCACTAGGGACCAGAGTAATTTCTGGTCTTGAGGTTAAGTCAAATTTAGGGACCTTGACATATAAAATATGGGACGACAGTTAGCTTAGCGGTTAGAGCGTTGGGCCAGTAACCGAAAGGTCACTAGCTTGAAATCCCTGAGCAGGTGAAACTGCCACCGATGTGCCCTTGAGCAAGGCACTTAGTCCTAATTGCTCCAGGGTCACCTTTGATAATGGCAGACCCTGGCAATGACCCCACTCTCCAAGGGTGTCTCAGGGAGAGTTGGGATATGCAAAAAACACATTTCCATTTCACACATGCGTATAATACACACTTGTACGTGTGTGAAACAGGACAAATATAACCACCCACCAAGTTATTATTATTATTATTATTATTATTATTATTATTATTATTATTATTATTAAATAGATGATCACAAGTGTACATGACTTAGGGCGGTGCACAATTGGCCCAGCGTCGTCCGGGTTTGGCCGGTGTAGGCCGTCATTGTAAATAAGAATTTGTTCTTAACTGACTTGCCTAGTTAAATAAAGGTAAAATAAAATAAAAAATTAAACTCTTGTGTCTTCTAAATAGAATAAAACCTGATTTGATGTGTGTACAGTTTGTGCAGACACTGATGATGTCGTTGGGTTTGTTTTGTAACACACACAGGTGAGGAGTGTGAGCTGGCGTGCAGGGACAATAACAGCGATGTGGTGATCCTGCTTAGCAACATGACCGCAGACAGCATACGCAAGGAGCACTGGAGAAACCCACCCAAAGTCAAGGTGTGTGTCTGTCACAAGTCCCACAGACGTACTTCACAAAGCACTGCTGATCATGATCCTTCATATTAGGAATTTGACACTATATGTCTATATCCTGGTAATATTGTGAACTACAGAAGGACCGAGCCATTCACACCTACTGTCTCTCTGTGGCCAAATCATCTTGGATGGCTAGACACTGGAAAACACATCAAATTGATAGGAACAGACAGGCAGACAGACAGACAGACAAAGACAGTATGGGACAACAACATAAGAGGAACCCTCTGCGAGAGTTCACTCAAAGAAAACAAGTTGCAGTGGACTCTGGGACATGAAGTGTTGTACTGCCACGCTCAGCCTAGTCCAACACCACCACCACCCGCAACAGTATGCCCAGGTTACATTCAGTTACTCCTCTATTACCAGGCATGTCCCAACACAATTAACCAACGCGACTTGGAAAAACACAGTCAAATCCCAGCTAGTCATCTCTGAACTCATGTGAACCGCAGCCAGCGACAGGGCAAGTTGTAAAAGTTAAAAAGCGACGTGTCGTCAGTAATCACTATAATTTCTTTAATGACCCCATTACAAGCCTTAATAGCCTGGTTTGATTTAGATATACCTGACAGGGCTATTGTATTGAGTCTGCACTGATTGCCTAAATTGGCAGCTGTGATTGCGAAATAATGGCGGGGGTCAGTTTACAGAAGCATACTGTAAACGTTGTGTAAGCGTTGTCCCCCCCGGACATAGAGAGTAATGAAATACGCTACGATAAGTACCATAATGACGTTGTTGTATCGACATGTATTTGTCAGTGAATTCCACCGCTTCCTCGCTTCATTTTACTTGATTTAAGTCAATGGGATTTAATTATTCAATTTCAGTTAAAAGCTATTTTCAAGGTTTTTAGCTGCAGTTGGATGGAGGCAGACCCTAAATAGGGCTAGGGGCTAGGCTAGCCAATGAGGGCCTTGGGAGTTGGGATTGAGAACATTATGTTTTTTTCTAGGGGTGTTTTGTTTTCATTACGAGTCGCACTGAGTCAGCCGTTTGTGGCGGTGCGGGGGAAATAAAATGATCCCTTTGTAATTGATTTGTGTAATTGATATGATTTATACGCTGGTGTAATGTGAGTCTGGAGGCAAAAGGGGAAAGGGAAACAGGATTGATGGGGCATAGAGATGTTCCACGAGGGTTGGATGAGGTGAAATCAATAGGCTGTTCTAGTGTGCTCATTAGCTTATACTGCTGCTGCTTGTGCCTCTGTGCCGGCCCACGTCAATCGTTGCATGTGAATTCCAATGCAACCTGTTCCACCTTTTTGGCTACCTGACAACAACAGGACACCCCCCTCCCCTCTAGAAGAAAAATATCTCAACTTTGTCAGTCTAGTTGTGTGCAGCAGATGGCTACTCAGTCAGATTTGCCTTCAGAACTGATGGCTCACACCACGGGACATCCAGTTTCTAAATGAAAGTGTCAACTCAACCTGAACACACTTCTGAAAGTGCTATCTGGAAATCCACCCTGGTATCTGCAATTGATTGAATCCTGGCCTATAAGTGTTCTCAAATGAGTGATGCTTAACATGCCTTTTTATCTCTAATCAAATGTGATCCGTACCACCTACAATATCACTAAAACTCAATAGAAGACTGATTATGGGAAGTATAGTAGCATAAGTAGAGAACCATCAAATATGATTGATGATTCAAATAATGATTAAAATCACTAATAACCCATGATTAGATTCTGTGGTAGTATTCTCATGTCATTTTACCTTAAAAGCTCTATCGTGGAGCTACTCTTGATTCACTATTAAAAATGCAGCCAGTTTCTTTAGAACACAGGCTGAAATCCACTTTGCATTTCCATATGTGCTGAGACAGGGGGTTTAGCCTCTTCATCACTTATAGTGATGTATCACCCTTCCGACCCATTAGTTTTGGGGTTTGACCCACTTAGGCTACCGTACTCCTCCTCTCTCTCACTTTTTGTAGCTCTCTTCCCTTGCATCAGCAGAAATTACACTGCTACATTTAGAATCAGTCATTTCTATGTGAATAATATCTATTAGAGACATGACCTCACCGTGGAGATATGGATCTATTTTGGTGTGATATCAGTGCACGTGGGGCAGGTGCTTGAGCGAGGATCCTGTGCACAAGGGGGGTGAAGTGAGGCCACAGTTGTGGATTATTTTGATTTGCGGCCATGCCAAGCGAGTTGGTCGGTGACATCATCTTCTTAGCGAAAGTGGCAGCGAAAAGTTTTACAACTAAGTCTCTCTAACCCCCCCTCCCACCTGCAACCCCCTTTGCAGATGTAGAGGACATGTACCAAAGTCTAGCCACTCTTACTATGGTCATCCTACCTGGGGGGAGCCTATTTGACCCCCCCTAAGTGAGCTCACCCACTTCACAGAAGCATGCTGGGAAAGGAATGTGGTGCTACCCAGTATCCAACTGTCCTCAAATGCTCTGTTGTTCTTTCTCTCTCTCCGCCGATCCCTCTCTCTCTGCCCTCTCTCCCTTCTTCTTCTTTTTTTCTGTCATTGATTTGCTGACGGCACTGAAATGAAAAATACCTTAGTTTGCAGCAGTGAAAAAGCATGTCAATTCATGTGTTATTGGGACACGTCAGGGCTGGGAAAAAAATGCTGCAGCGGAGGTCAGCCAGTCCTCTGCTGTGGATGGCACTTTTGGTCCCGGTCCGCACCGGGTAGGTTTTACTGCATGTACTGGATTGCCTTCGTCTGGGGACATGATGTTCCCCTGAAAACCCTCTCATTTCACACATACAGACCCTGTGGAAGACAGATATTATCTTATACACTCTCTCAGCCCGCATAACATACACACACATGCATGGAGACACACAGATACGCACACACAGACACACACACTACATTCAAATCACCTCAGAAGCCCTCTAGAACAAATGTGTGTATTTCATGCGTCCCAATGAGAGCAGACAATGAAAGCAAGAGAGCAGATTCCACACATACTGAGGAGATATTTGAGAACACGTTTCGTACTCGATCTCCTGGGGCCATTGCCCTGGTATGAAAGAGCACCTTTATACAGCATAAGGATCAAGTTATATCATGTCAAGTAGATTTATTCAGCGATCTGTGGAGGGGTAATCAATCAAAAGCAGGCTTCACCACCGTTGAAAACATCCATTCATTTATTCATATGGAAAATGCCATGAACTTTGCTCGTCCTGAATGTGGAGGGAGTTAAGGTAAACAACATAACAAGGAACATGGTCGTTTCACTGGAGTGGTGGCACCCTGCCCTCCTAACAGACCAGGATGTGTCACATTATGTGTTATCCAAATAGGCACATGTAGCGTGACGAGAGAGAGAGGAAAAAAATATGTATGACAGAAGTTGTTTGATTTAGATAAGCTGGTAACGTTGGAAGGAAGTAGAGGCATGATGTGGTTGAGCAGGATAGGTCTAATCGGCTTCAGTCGCTTTGGTAAAAACATCTCATTATAATGTATTTCAAGGTATTTGACCTGTAGAAACACTTGCTGCAACCCACCTTTGTGCAAGTGAATCAACTAGGAATTAAATGTGCTTGTGGTTGGGATCAGACGTCACTGCGAGCCGGATCTGTTGAAACAAGACACTGAGGTGGCAGACTTCAAAGAACCAACCAACAAGACTGTGTGTGCAGCCTACCCACTGGGCAAAAACTGGTTGAATCAATGTTGTTTCCACGTCATTTCAACCCCCCCCACATTGAATTTACATTAGTTGACAACTCAACCAAATGTAAATCAAAACTAGACGTCTGTGCCCAGTGGGTAGTCTTGCCGTATGACTCCTTGTTTATGTTTGTGTGGGTTCTGGGGACAACACAATGATGCATTAACAGCAGGCGGCAACAACATGCCATTCCACATGAAATACTTTCACTCCACAGTCTGATATTGAAAGCAGGAAAAATACTTACCCCAAAATCATTACTAGTACTACTACTACTTGTTCTAACGACCAATATGGCTACAATATCCATCCTTACAACTACATCTCCCCTTGTCATTTATATTTTAATCAATATATTTTATTCCATAGCTCACAGATTGACATTTCATCCATATACAGTAGAGATATTTTGAGTGTCTGAACCCCTATTGACTGTTTTCCTTTTGTCTCCTTACAGAATATAGTGTGTACAATGGGACTGAAGTGGTTTCCACATCCAGAGGTGCTCCACTGCATCAAAAGATGTGATGTAAGAACTTCTATGAGCTTTCTGAGGATAGTAGTTTATCTATGAAAGAAAGGTTTCGCCTGAGATTAAAGATATGGGATAAGGTCCTCATCTGTGTGAAAGGATGTGAGGTAAGGACAGTTGTGAAAAAAGTACACAATTGTCATACTTGAGTAAAAGTAAAGATACCTTAATAGAAAATGACTCACGTAAAAGTGAAAGTCACCCAGTAAAATACTATTGAGTAAAAGTCTAAAAATATACTTAAGTATCAAAAGTAAATGTAATTGCTAAAATATATTTGAGTATCAAGAGTAAAAGTAAAATAACAAATAATTTAAAATCCCTTATTAAGCAAACCAGACGGCATAATTTTCTTGTTTTTTAAATGTATGGATAGCCAGGGGCACACTCCAACATTCAGACATAATTTACAAACAAAGCATTTGTGTTTAGTGAGTCCGCCAGATCAGAGGCAGTAGGGATGACCAGGGATGTTCTCTTGATAAGCGTTTGAATTGGACCATTTTCTGTCCTGCTAAGTATTTAAAATGTAACAAGTACCTTTGGGTGTCAGGGAAAATGTATGTAGTAAAAAGTACATTATTTTCTTTAGGAATGTAGTGAAGTAAAAGTTGTCCAAAATATAAATAGTAAAGTAAAGTACAGATACCCCAAAAAATTACTTCGGTAGTACTTTAAAGTATTTTTACTTAAGTACTTTACACCACTGGGTAAGGACTTCACCTGAGTTAAAGGAAATTGGGTAATAGGTTTACATGAGAGGGAGAGAGGTAAGGGCTTCAACCAGAGAGGAAGAGGCCCGTCCAAATCTGTCCACATGGGAATACTGCGATAAGCAGACCAATAAACAGACCGATAAGCAGACCATCTGCCTTCACGACTCCCATTGTTAGGGCAGAGACCATCTTGTCATTAAATACAGTATCACTGATTCAACTGTGTGAGAGGAAGTGGGGTAAGAGGACGTGCCATGCGTCATGGAGGCTAGTGGTGATGAGGAGAGGTGTGTGAGGAGTATAAACACTGTCACAGAACAGGATTAAGTGTTCTGATAACAAGTGCTTCTTTATGTATTTTGCAACATATCCTGATATTTTCTAAATGTTATCAGATCAGACATCACCTTAAATTTCCAGATATGTAGCTTTTTCAATTTGTTCTACTCCCCATGGAGTTTATGCAGACACTAGCCTGGCGGGAGCCGTCAAGATTGAAAGATACACAAATACAGATCCAGACACATATATGCAAGCACACACACACACACACAGTTCTGAACACACTGCCCTGAATACACTGTCAGCCAGCCAGCCAGTGAAGTAGCTAGCTACCTATCAGAGAGACAAGCCTTTTAACAGCAGGCGAGCTCATTCGGGAGAAGGTTGATATACAACATTGTTTCAGAGCATGGGTAGCTAATTGTTCTCTCTGGGGAGACGCTCTGCTCCAGTGACGTCAGTTACCATGGATACCGGCACAAGCGGAGAAGCCAATTAGTCAGGTTTGATTCATGTCGTCTCCGAAATGAAACACTTTACCCACATGGGGACCTGGATCTGTTTCAGAGAATCCCACCACAAGAGAAGAGAAACAGGAAAGAACTGATACTGGGCTATAGTAGCCTGACACTTTGTCTACACACCCTATGTAGCTGATATTGTAGTATGCTAATATTTTCAGGTCCGATAATATGGTTAACAAAACTTGTTCTTTCCTCAGGCAAAATATATATTTACCGCAAAAACTTCAATTAATAGCCCGGCCGTTTATTTGCATCAATCACTGAACACAACAGGCACTTATTAGAGACAGGCTTCTATTTGAGCAAGGTGTCTATTTCCTTAATGCACACAGCTTACCTTTTTCCTCCCCCTACCTTGCAGTCTCACCCTCTTCTGATCCACCTCAGACAAATGTTCAAGTTCGACTTTTTGACATCGGCATTCTCTCACTTGTTGTGGATCAATTCCAAAATGCCTGGCTGTTGCCTCGCCCGAATTTTGCTCTGCGAATTTGATCACTGCTAGCTTGAATTTGATGTTGTGTTTTCTTTTTGGTGGCGCCATGGCTAGCAACGGTGACAGAATTGTATTATTATTGTTTTCTATGCAAATGACCATGGAAATATCAGAGCTGTGTCTGGCATTTATTTGAAACAGGTATTGCTGAAATGTGTGCCGATGCCCGGATATTAAAAGGAACAGGCGGCTATTTAAGACTCAGCGTTAAATTGAAGTTTTACAGTAGATTTTACTGTGATATATTTTCATTTTATCGTAGTAAAGAAAGTATTCACCCTTTGATCGGTGTTGGTAGAAGGATGATGTCATCATCCACACAGCTTAAGCCAATTGGATAACCCAGGAGGGGGGAGGGCGGGGCTAGCCTCATAAACTACATGATTGGAGTGTTCCTTAGCGTCATATAGTTTATGGTGTCCTCACGTTGGACTTCTCGCGGCTTAAAAAGTCACATTGGAAGAAGTGGAAATTATGTACCAGATTAATCAGCAAATCCAGAACAAAACCTGGTTGAGATGGGGATAAGACAAAAAAAGTTAAAACAATACAATATTATTAAAATTAAACTTAAATAATATAGAGCACTTAAGTTGGGTAATTAAACACAAATAAATCAGAGAGAATCAGTGGGGTTTTCCTCTCTATGTTGTCCATATGTGTATGTACAGTATACTGTATAGGTTGTTGATGATGCCCTGCCTCTTATTGTCTCCTCTTGTTTGTCTCTTTCTCTGTCACAGCCGTTCATTGGAGACAATTACTGTGACTCGGTCAACAACAGAGCCTTCTGTAACTACGACGGAGGGGACTGCTGCCACTCCACCGTCAAGACCAAAAAGGTGAGTAGTCCAGAACATCTGGACTTGTATTCACTAAACCTTCTCAAGACAAAATGGCTTCTTCTTATCTGCCTTTTGAAATTGTTTAAGATAAGTTAACATAACAGTTAAGTTGCTACTCCTAAACAAAGTTAATGGGAATTATCTTAAATGTATTCTTATGTTCTCACTGTGGCTACTGAGTAATTTGAAGTCATTTGTGAACTTATACTCGCTGCCATATCTTTCTGATCTTAACATTTTGAAGATAAGCAAAATTAAGCTTTCCTTTTCTATTGCACATTGACAGTGCCTTATCAGTTTGTGTTCATGCTTGTCCTTTGCTAGATGGTTGATATTTTACCTTTCTCTATGACCCAAATAAGGTCCCCTTCCCCTATGTGAACAATACACAGCTGTTCCATACACTGTGTTTCTCTAGCTTGGTGTGTGTATTGTAGTCTGTTTCCCAGGCTATGTCTGGCTCTCTCGCTGGGTTAGAAGTCTTTACTATAATTTGTTTCTCTGGCTCCTTATGATCCTCTGTGTATCTGGCTGGGTTTTTACTGTAGTATGTGTATCTGTTTGTCTCTGTCTGGCTGGTTTTGTACTGTAGCATGTGTCTGTCTGTCTGTCTGGATCCGGAGTCTCTTCATTTCCTGCTGGGAGTCGGCGCATGTGACCGCTCTCCACAGAGTCCAATCAGAATGTGTGTGATTGCTTCTGTTCCACCTTCACTGTTCCTCCCTCACCATTCTAACATCAGCGTTTCCCAGTATCAGGATTAATCAACTTTTTATCCTCAGTTCTATACTCCCCACCATTCTACCCTTCCTGTTCCTCTCAGACTCCTCCACTTTGGCCTATTCCACTCGCTCTGTTCTTGTTGTAAAAAACAAAAGGTTTATTACATTTACATTTACATCATTTAGCAGATGCTCTTATCCAGAGCAACTTACAAATTGGATGCACTCAACTTATGATAGCCAGTGGGACAACCACTTTTTTTATGGGGGGTGGGGGAAGAAGGATTACTTTATACTATTCCAGGTATTCCTTAAAGAGGTAGGGTTTCAAGTGTCTCTGGAAGGTGGTCAGTGACTCCGCTGTCCTGGCGTCGTCGGGGAGCTTGTTCCACCATTGGGGTGCCAGAGCAGCGAATAGCTTTGACTGGGCTGAGCGGGAACTGTGCTTCCGTAGAGGTAGGGGAGCTAGCAGGCCAGAGTTGGATGAACGTAGTGCCCTCGTTTGGGTGTAGGGTCTGATCAGAGCCTGAAGGTAAGGAGGTGCCGTTCCCCTCACAGCTCCGTAGGCAAGCACCATGGTCTTGTAGTAGATGCGAGCCTCAACTGGAAGCCAGTGGAGTGTGCGGAGGAGCGGGGTGACATGAGAGAACTTGGGAAGGTTGAACACCAGACGGGCTGCAGTGTTCTGGATAAGTTGTAGGGGTTTAATGGCGCAGGGAGCCCAGCCAACAGCGAGTTGCAGTAATCCAGACGGGAGATGACAAGTGCCTGGATTAGGACCTGTGCCGCTTTCTGTGTAAGGTAGGGTCATACTCTGCAAATGTTGTAAAGCATGAACCTGCAGGATCGGGTCACCACTTTGATGTTAGCGGAGAATGACGGGGGGTTGTCCAGGGTCACGCCAAGGTTCTTTGCACTCTGGGAGGAGGACGCAATGGAGTTGTCAACCGTGATGGCTAGATCATGGAGCGGGCAGTTCTTCCCCGGGAGGAAGAGCAGCTCCGTCTTGTCGAGGTTCAGCTTGAGGTGGTGATCCGACATCCACACTGATATGTCTGCCAGACATGCAGAGATGCGATTCGCCACCTGGTTATCAGAAGGGGGAAAGGAGAAAGTTAATTGTGTGTAGTCTGCGTAGCAATGATAGGAGAGACCATGTGAGGATATGACAGAGCCAAGTGTCTTGATGTATAGAGAGAATAGGAGAGGGCCTAGAACTGAGCCCTGGGGGACACCAGTGGTGAGAGCATGTGGTGTGGAGACAGATTCTCGCCACGCCACCTGGTAGGAGCAACCTGTCTGGTAGGACGCAGTCCAAGAGTGAGCAGCGCCAGAGATGCCCAACTCGGAGAGGGTGGAGAGGAGGATCTGATGGTTCACAGTATCAAAGGCAGCGGATAGGTCTAGAAGCATAAGAGCAGAGGAGAGAGAGTTAGCTTTAGCAGTGCGGAGAGCCTCCGTGACACAGAGAAGTGCAGTCTCAGTTGAATGACCAGTCTTGAAACCTGACTGGTTTGGATCAAGAAGGTAATTCTGAGAGAGATAGCAGGATAGTTGGCTAGAGACGGCACGCTCAAGAGTTTTGGAGAGAAAAGAAAGAAGGGATACTGGTCTGTAGTTGTTGACATCGGAGGGATTGAGTGTAGGTTTAATGAGGAGGGGTGCAACTCTCACTCTTGAAGATTGAAGGGACATGGCCAGCGGTCAAGGATGAGTTGATGAGCGAGGTGAGGTAAGGGAGAAGGTCTCCGGAAATGGTCTGGAGAAGAGAGGAGGGGGTAGGGTCAAGCGGGCAGGTTGTTGGGCAGCCGGCTGTCACAAGTCGCAAGATTTCATCTGGAGAGAGAGGGGAGAAAGAAGTCAAAGCATAGGGTAGGGCAGTGTGAGCTGGACCAGCGGTGTCATTTGACTTAACAAACGAGGATCGGATGTCGTCAACCTTCTTTTCAAAATGGTTGACGAAATCATCCACAGAGAGGGAGGAGGGAGGGGGAGGAGGAGGATGATTCAGCAGGGAGGAGAAGGTGGCAAAGAGCTTCCTAGAGTTAGAGGTAGAGGCTTGAAATTTAGAATGGTAGAAAGTGGCTTTAGCAGCGGAAACAGAGGAAGAGAATGTAGAGAGGAGGGAGTGAAAAGATGACAGGTCCGCAGGGAGTCTAGTTTTCCTCCATTTCCGCTCGGCTGCCCGGAGCCCTCTTCTGTGAGCTCGCAATGAGTCGTCAAGCCACGGAGCAGGAGGGGAGGACCGAGCCGGCCGGGAGGATAGGGGACATAGATAGTCAAAAGATGCAGAAAGGGAGGAGAGGATAGTTGAGGAGGCAGAATCAGGAGATCAGAGGGAGAAGGATTTAGCAGAGGGAATAGATGATAGGATGGAAGAGGAGAGAGTAGCGGGAGAGAGAGAGCGATGGTTGCGACGGCACATTACCATCTGAGTAGGGGCAGAGTGAGTAGTGTTGGAGTAGAGCGAGAGAGAAAAGGATACAAAGTAGTGGTCGGAGACTTGGAGGGGAGTTGCAATGAGATTAGTAGAAGAACAGCATCTAGTAAAGATGAGGTCAAGCGTATTGCCTGCCTTGTGAGTAGGGGGGGACGGTGAGAGGGTGAGGTCAAAAGAGGAAAGGAGTGGAAAAAAGGAGACAGAGAGAAATGAGTCAAAGGCAGACGTAGGGAGATTAAAGTCACCCAGAACTGTGAGGGGTGAGCCATCCTCAGGAAAGGAACTTATCAAGGCATCAAGCTCATTGATGAACTCTCCAAGGGAACCTGGAGGGCGATAAATGACAAGGATGTTAAGCTTGAATGGGCTAGTGACAGTGACAGCATGGAATTCAAATGAGGAGATAGACAGATGGGTCAGGGGAAAAAGAGAGAATGTCCACTTGGGAGAGATGAGGATTCCTGTGCCAACGCCGCACTGACCAGATGCTCTCGGGGTATGCGAGAACACATGGTCAGACGAGGAAAGAGCAGTAGGAGTAGCAGTGTTTTCTGTGGTAATCCATGTTTCCGTCAGTGCCAAGAAGTCAAGGGACTGGAGGGTAGCATAGGCTGAGATGAACTCTGCCTTGTTGGCCACAGAACGGCAGTTCCAGAGGCTGCCGGAGACCTGGAACTCCACGTGGGTCGTGCGCGCAGGGACCACCAGATTAGAGTGGCAGCAGCCACGTGGTGTGAAGCGTTTGTATGGCCTGTGCAGAGAGGAGAGAACAGGGAAAGACAGACACATAGTTGACAGGCTACAGAGAAAGGCTACAATAATGCAAAGGAGATCGGAATGAAATGAACTAAACATCTGGGAAAGCGAGAGAGCGGGGCCTCCCTCACTTATGTTTCACTGAAACACTCAAATATAACTTTCCCAACTTCCACTTTAGAAATTATAATTGTTGTAAACTACAGCGGTTCAGTTTTCTAGGAATAGACTCTAACTTAGTTTATTCAGCTAGCTAACTTGGTACAGTATTCTTCCGTGAAAACCGTCCAGGGCACCGAATCCTATGACGCAATAGCCAACTAGCATGCCAGCCTCCAATAACACGGTTTAGCACCAATACTCGGTTACCACAAACCACCAGTGTGTTAACACGCCAAACAGATCATTCGTGTCCGTTTCTAACGTTGTGTAAAGTTTTGGGTTAGTTTTGACAGTTTGAGTGAGTACGTCGTCAACTTATTCAGCCAGTTAGTTAGCTAGAATAGTTAGCATACTAGCTAGCCATTGCTCTCTGCCAATGAACTAACCCCTCCTCCCACGGCACGAATCACACAGAGAAAGCCAAGCTAATGTTAACTAGTCACCCATGTCCCGAATTCCCTTGAACGACTCTGGTTACCAGTATGTAAAAACAAGACAAAAATAAATGTAGGTTATAACTTACCCTTAGTAGCTACTGTTAGCCAGTTAAGTGCAAAGCTAGCCACTGAATCGATTCAGCCAGTTCGCGTCTGTCTCAACGGAGAGAAAGCGTCTCCAAATATTACCGCTAGGTCGTTCCAGCTATTGTTTAGTTAGCTATTCAGGTAGCAACAAGCTAGCTACATTTCGAGTACAGTAGCTACTAACTACCTAAAGTTAACGCTTCAGATAATGAGGTTAGAAAAACAGCTGAATGGTAGGTAGCTAGCTGGCATAATTACAGGTACTCTTACGTGTGAAATAACATTGGAAACGACTATCCACAGTTGCTAATAGTTACCAGTAGCTACCCGCTAGCTAGCTAGCTTTATTGGTCCAGGTAGTGGGTTAGCTAGCCTCATGCTTCACCGGGCTCAGCCGAATACAATACTTACCTACAATAATTACCTATAATAACCTACAATAACTACCTAGATAAACTACCTACAATACTTAACTACAATACCTACCTACAATCTAAATACATGGTTTAAGCTTTACTCATCACCATATAAGAAGCCAAGCTTACCTCCCGCTAGAGAAACACAACCTCACCCGACCAGTATCCACCACACGTTTATGGCTTCTGTTGTTAAACCAACCTGGTA